TAAGAATAAGTTTAGGAAAAACAGGACAAGACCTACATGTTGAAAATTATAAAACATTACTGAGAGAAATTAAGGGATATCTGAATAAATGATGAGATAATTAATGTTCACACATTAAAAGACTTAATATTAAGATGTCATTTCTTCATAGTTTGCTGCTTAAATTTAATACAATGCTTATCAAGACTCCAGCAGGATTATTTTGTAGAATTTGACAAGCTGATCATAACTTAAACGGAAATACAGAGGACCTAGGATAGCCCCTCACTCCCCCAAATTAAAAGAACAATGTTAGAAGATTTACAGCATCTAGTTTCAAACTTACATAAAATTCTAGTAATCACAATAGTGTAGTACTGGCATAAGGATAAATATATAGAGGAATGGAATACAATAGAAAGTCTATAAAAACTCTAACATGTGTTGCCAATTGATTTTTGACAAAGACATCAAGGAAATTTAATAGGGAAAGGGTAGTCTTTTCAGCAAATATTGCAGAGACAATTGGTCTCAGGTAGGACAAAAAATGTTCTGGGACAGTGCAAAAAAGGAGACAAAATAAGACAAAACACAAATTTAGATCCTTACTACACACACACAAAAGTCAAGTCAGAATATTATAGAGGGAAATATTTCTGATTTTGGGTGAGGAAAATATCTCTTAGGTATGACTCCCAAAACACTACTTAAAATTAAAAAAAGATACATGGGACTTTATCAAAAAATTTTTAAAAATACTCTTATAGCAGCAATGGCCACGGTTCCCAAACTGTGGAAAGAACCAAGATGCCCTTCAACCGGATGAATGGACAAGGAAGATGTGGTCCATATACACTACGGAGTATTACGCCTCCATCAGAAAGGATGAATACCCAACTTTTGTAGCAACATGGACAGGACTGGAAGAGATTATGCTGAGTGAAATAAGTCAAGCAGAGAGAGTCAATTATCATATGGTTTCACTTATTTGTGGAGCATAACAAATAGCATGGGGGACATGGGGAGATGGAGAGGAGAAGGGAGTTGAGGGAAATTGGAAGGGGAGGTGAATCATGAGAGACTATGGACTCTGAAAAACAACCTGAGGGTTTTGAAGGGGCGAGGGGTGGAAGGTTGGGGGAAGCAGGTGGTGGGTATTAGGGAGGGCACGGATTGCATGGAGCACTAGGTGTGGTGCAAAAATAATGAATACTGTTACACTGAAAAGAAATAAAAAATTTAAAAATAAATAAATTAATTAATTAAATAAATAAAAAAACTCTTTTTTTTTTTTTTTTTTTTTTTTTTTAAACAGAGACAGATGGAAACCTTAAGAGACTCTTAACTACAGGAAACAAACTGAGGATTGCTGGAGGGTATGTGGGTTGAGGGCATGGAGTTGTGAGCACTGGTTGTTGTATGCAACTGATAAATCACTAAATTCTCTGAAACTAATAATATAGTATATGTTCATTAAATTGAATTTAAATAAAGAAATTTAAAAAGACTCTTTAAATGACAAAAATGAAAAGCAAGCTGTATACTGGGGGAAAAAATTCACATTTATGTATCTAATGAAGGACTTGTGTCCAGAATATAAAGAATATAAAGAACTCTTAGAATCTCTTACAATTCAACAACAAAAAATCAATCCAACCCCCCAAAATGGACAAAAATTTGAACAGACACTTCACTGAAGGAAGATATAGGATTAGCTAATTAGCACATGGAAAGATGTTCATTTAGTCATTAGAGAAACAGAAAAGAAAACTACAATATGATACCACAAGAACCCAATAGAATGGTCATAATCAAAATACTGAAAAAAATGGTAAGGATGGGAAGGAATGGAATATAAAAAGGTACAGCCACTTTGGAAAACAGTTTGGGAGTTTCTTAAAAAGTTAAACACGTACTTAACATAAACCCATTCATTCTAATCCTAGGTATAGACCAAAGAAAAATGAAAACTGATCTATTCGAAGAATTTTAGTGTATGTTTATAAGCAACATCATTCTTAATAGTAAGAAGAGAGCAGTACGCATGTATATCAATGAATGAATGAATCAATTTGAATGAACAAATAAAATGTGGTGTATACATGTGGCTTACTATTCAGCAATTATAAAGGAGCTCACTACCAATACATGCAACAGTGTGAATGAATCCTAAAAGCATGCTAAGTGAAAAAGCCACACACAAAATGCTACATATTTTATGATCCCATTTGCACAAAATTTCTGGAAAAGGAGACTCGGTACAGAAAGAAAGCATATCAGGGGTTGCTTAGGGTTGGTCATGGGAGGAATGAGAATTGACTCCAACCAGCTACAAGGAATCTAGATTCTCACGATGGTTGCACATCAATAAATTGATTAAATATCATTGGACCACAGAATAGTTGAATTTTATGGTGGGTAAAGTGAAGCTCTTAAGAAAAATTTATAGCACCTCACGAGTCCATGTAAATTCATAAGAATTAGTCAAATGAACTTAAAGTGGGCATATGGAAAGAAATTGACTTAAGTTAAAAAAAATGGATTTGAGGTATTTAGCAAGGATACAGGAAAGAGAAGTAGACATCATTTCAGTGTACGCATTATTGAAGATTTTCTCCTAAATCTTTCAGCCCAAATTATGGAATTAAATAAAATAGAAAATAAAATGATATAAAAATAGGTAAATGCTAAGCGGGTTATAATTAAGAAGCCAAACAAGTGAACATCTTTTATGGCACATTAAATTTATTTTTCATGGGCGCCTGGGTGGCTCAGTGGGTTAAGCCACTGCCTTCGGCTTAGGTCATGATCTCAGGGTCCTGGGATCGAGTCCCGCGTCGGGCTTTCTGCTCAGCAGGGAGCCTGCTTCCTCCTCTCTCTCTGCCTGCCTGTCTGCCTACTTGTGATCTCTCTCTCTGTCAAAGAAATAAAATCTTTAAAAAAAAATTTATTTTTCATGATTGTCTTTTTGAATTTAAAGGGGAAAGCTCTGCCTCAGTGTAAGTTTGTCTGTCCTTTGAAGAGACAGATACTTGTTGTGTCAATTCTTACAGTATAGATGAGACCAGTGACAAATTACGAGTCAGAAGGTGAGTTTTAAGAGGGAGAAAAAATTCTAGGTTCTTTCTGGGCCTCGACTTTGGAGTGATGGAGGCATGTGGGAGTGGAGACTACATATACACTGACACAATGCAGTTATATTAAAAATAAAATGACTTCAGTCTGAGACCACGAAGACTGAAAAGAAATTTTAAAACAATAACCATGGTGGTGTACTTTATTTGATCCCTTCTCAGAATATAATGCAAGTTTGAAATAAGAAAAAAAGATTTTTTGAAACATATGATTAATTTGTATGTGGCAGAAGAAACTGCTGAATTGAAATCACCTATGTTGGGAGAGGACAGTGTGTCCAGAATTTCTCTCACCACTTACCATTTGCTCCCAGTCTCAACCTAGCACATTGCCTGGTACATACTAGATAATCAATCTGCAGCTGATGAATTAATGAATGCCTCATTATTTTTGAAGATTTTTTTTTCTGGGAAATTAAGATTTTATTGATTAACTTATTGAATATTTAACATCTATTGGCAAATACTGATCTATAAAATGCATGTTGGTGTTATTTGTGGATGGGCCTAATAAACAGACCATTTAAGTAGCCAAGTTTGGCATTTCTCACATTTATATTACCAGCTCCACAGAGCATATCCCTCCTGAATACTCCATTTCCTACCGCATATCCCTCTCATCTCCCTAGATATTAAGCACATATGTGTTTATTTCAATATAGGTATAGCTAGTCATATTTATTGTTTTATGTCCTTGTCACTGTGCCTGTAGTTATTTATTGTTTTTATGTTCTTGGTTATGGGTTCTTCATGTTTTTCTTGTAACTCCATTGTATTACAACTGTTTTAAAGTATCTGAGAATTTGTTATACAATGTACAGCCCTGACCAAATATAAGGTATTAAAGTTACAAAATTGACATCAATATTTTGAGGACAACAGATCAACTTAATTTGTATTCTTTTTAAAATTCTATGTCTACTTAATAAAGTGTAAGAAAAATTAGTGTAACTGAAGCAGGAAATGATCATGTAAAGGTAACCCCTGGTTACAGATATACTTTCTGTTATAATTGGGATATTAAGTTTACTCAGTAAGTTAGTGTATTTTGCTCAGCTTTATGTTTCATTATTTGAGAAACACAGCATAAAGTAAACTGTAGCATTAAAAGCCAGCTTCATTGCAATTTATTTTTATAGCATAGTGCAAAACAACCCAAGCTGAAAGTACATTCAGGCAGTGAGACTTAAATCCCTAAAGGTAAGAAAGTGGTTCCATAAACAGATGTGATCATGGATTCTGAGTTTATTTGCTTGTGGCAAAAATAAAAGTACCAACTCAATAAGTTTTAATTTATAGGCATCTACACCAGAAGGCCTTTAGGCACTTTGAACAAAACTGACTAAAAATAAAATTTAGTAAAATAAACCTAATCTGCCCCATTCTCCATTCACACCAGGGAATATAAATTCCCAGCTAGGTAGAGAGGAGAGATTTCTCTGTCTTTTTTAGGTGCTTTCCTGGAATTGTAGCTATGCTATGCTCTAGAAGAGAATTTTATGATTGGCTGCATTTCAGGACACTTGAGAACATGAGAGAGGAACTACGGATGAACATTCCACCTCCTGAAGGTTTTCTAACAACCATGGCCCCACCTAACACATGGTCACGCAGAAGTATAGAGCTTTTCTGTTCTCACCCAAAGGAAATATTACTTGCCCTTTTTCTTCAGCAGGAAGTTCAAATATATATATATATACATACACACACACACACACACACACACACACACACACATACATACATACACTGGCTGGTACCTAATATGTATCTGAACATTTGGAAATTCTATGATTCTATCATTGGACATATAATAGACTGAAAATCCTTATTTGTGTAGAATATAAATAGACAAGTAGGGGGTCCTGACCTTGTAGGCCTGCTTACCTCACATTTTGTTCTTCCAGGGTCTCACTTGTGAATTCCAGTATGTCAGCAGCTGTCCCCACAAACATAAGGAGAAGTTGAGAGAGTTGGTCCCGAGTGATCCCTCCTCCAATGGGTAGAAGCCATCTTCCAATTATGAGCATTAACAAGAATGTCTGATGGAGTCCCAAAGTCCAAACTTTCTCACATACTGTAGATAAGTTATTTACAAAAACCTGGGCCTGTGTAACAAAAATGTCATACAGGGAGAAGACTGTGAGCTACCACCTTGGAGAGATATGCCTTCTTCACCATGGCTTTCAATCAAGAGTTAGCTTTTGTGGAAGGTCATTTTCAGAAAAATGATTCCTCACTTACTAAAGAAAATAAAACTCCTTTCAACTGGACATTCTGGGGGGAAAAAGAGGCTAAGATGATCCATAAAAAGGGGCAGCCTTATAACAAGAAATAATTTAAACCTCATACTTGTATTGTAACATTTGATACTTAAAGAGCCAATTTGATATGTTTTAAAGATCATTTCTTGTTTTACTCTTCTCCATAACAAAGTATTGCACACAGAAAAACTGTTTAAATACCATATTAAAATCACACACACAAAAATCCTCTATTTTTCTTTCAGGGTTTTCAAGTCTGAGTTTACTAATCTGGGAATATTTTAACATAGTACAGGTATCTTGTTTTTTATTGGTTTAGAGCACTACTACATCAAATAAGAAAATGCATAATAATGTTTATTCGTTACCTAAATGCAAATAAAGAGATTAACTGTAGTTATTATTTTTATTCTGAATATTTAGCATACTATTGAAAAATCCATAAGCTAGCAACCAAATTTTATTCTGCCCTTAATCTTGAATTCAGAGAAAAATTTATATCCCTTTCATGGATTCTGAATGATATCTCTTGCCCATTTAATTTCCAAATAAGTTTTAAAATATATTATTGGCCCTAAAGTCTATAACCTTTTTTTTAAGATTTTATTTATTTATTTGACAGAGAGAGATCACAAGTAGGCAGGGAGGCAGGCAGAGAGAGAGGGGGAAGCAGGCTCCCTGCCAAGCACAGAGCTCCATGCAGGACTCGATCCTAGGACCCTGAGATCATGACCTGAGCCGAAGGCAGAGGCTTAACCCACTGAGTCACCGAGGTGCCCCTAAAGTCTATAATCTTTTAAAGACTATGGGATTGTATGTCTCCAGTGGCTTGGATAGTTGATTCCAACTGATTTATACAAGTAACTTAGCTATGTCTGTGCAAAACCTATTTATTACCCCTATTGATGACTTACTGATGTTGAGTATAGAGGTAGAGGGAGGATAAAGGACAAGGCAGGATGCTAACCTGATTGAAGCCATGTGTGAAGATCAATGATTTTTCATTTACACAGTGTTTCATGTTTTTTCTATTGGACTTCACATACATCCTACTTGATTCTCACAGGACGCATACGAGGCAGGGTGAATATTAATATTTTCAATTAGATGAACAACTGAGATACAGAGTGATTAAGTGACTTGTTCAAAGTGATATCAGTCAGCTGTGATTGGAGCTTGAATTAGAATCCAAGGCTAATTCAATTAAATCTCTTAGAATCAATAATCTATCATATTGTTGAAAATGTGACTTATTGGTAGGGAGGGGTCTGGGCCTTGAGTCTCTCCCATATACCATTTTATAATAGGCCATGGTTAGTTTGACAAATATCAGGCAAATGAAGAACAAAAAACTGATTCATTTTGGCTGGAAATCTTCCCTATTTTGTTAATATATACTCTTAAAAATATATAGGCGAGGTCTCAAACTTTTAAGTATATCATTCACTCACAAATAATATGTATCTCACCTTGTGCATGTAATATCTGACCTGTTAAAGGCTACTTAATGCTGCAAGTTAAATATATCTATTAACATATATATGATATATGTGATTATTATGTATATTAAATATGTTTAATAAATAAAAATACAATTATTTCATAAATTCCTGAGCCAAACGATTAAACAATTGACAAATTTCCTTAGGGAAGAATGAGCTGAAAGGTGTAGAGCATGTTATCCTCTGAATGAAAGGTGATTTCCTAGATCCTTTAAAATACAGTGGAAAAATCTCTCACCGTCCTAATAAGATCATCTGCTCCATTGTCTTGGTCACTTGATATCAGAGTTTGATTGAAGTTTTCTTTGCTACTGGAATTTTGTGATGTTCCTTCAGATTGGCTACTGCAATACTAAGAATTTGGTACAAAGCCAATATGTTAAAAAAAAAACACAGTATGTAGAATTTAAAATGGTTTCAATTATCTAAGAGATTATGAGTAGATATGTGTATTTACACACTATGTGCAAATATTTCCAAAATTCAGGTTATAGTTTTAAATAGAAAACCACTTTTTAATTAATATGAGATGAAAATCAACTATACACGTTTTACTTTCCCACAAGTCTATGAGGATGTAGTCTCTAAGTTCATTGTACAGAGCTGCAGAATTTTTTAAGTTCTTATTTTAATTTCAGTTAGTACACATAGAGTATTATATTAGTTTCAGGTTACAATATAGTGACTCAACAATTCCATACATCACTTGGTGGTCATCATAACAAGTCACTGCTTAATCTCTGTCACCAGTTTCCCCCATTCCCCCACCCACCTCCACTCTGGTGAATATCAGTTTGTTCTCTATAGTTTGTTTCTTCATTTGTCTTTCATTTTTTCCCTTTGATTGCTTGTTTTCTTTCTTAAACTCCATGAGTGAAATCAATGGTATTTGTCTTTCTCTGAATAATTTATGTAACTTAACATTATATTCTCTAGTTCCATCCATGTCCTTGAAAATGGCAAATGGCAAGACTTCATGCTTTTTTGTGGCTGAGTATATATACTCAGTATATATATATATATATATATATATATATATATATATATATATATGAGAA